GGGGGGGGGGGGACGACACCTGATACTGTGCTAGACATGACCACCTAGTTAGAGAGGGTACAGCAAGCATTATCATAAAAGAGGGTACAGAGGAGATGGTACAGAGCTGGCATTTTTTTCAAGGCTGTAGATCTGTTAGAGGCAATGCAGAGGAACAGGGGTGGGGGTTATGGACACAAGAGGCCATCCAGGTTAGTGCCCAATTTTTTTTTATTTTTGTTTTTTAAAGGGTGGTGAGCTGGGGCGGGTAGGCTAGCTGTGGTGGGGCTGGGACAGCAGGTGGGGGTTGGGGGGCTTGTGGCAGAGCACCTCCCCCCCCCATGTGGCATGGGGAATTGCCCCCTTGCCCGGCAGCAGCTGGTGAGTGGGGGCTTTTTATTTTTTTCAAAGAGCCGGGAGCTGGGGTGGGTGGGGCAGCCATTGAGAGGGGGTGGGGCCTGTGTGATTCAGAGATTCAGCTGCAGCCAAATTTCCAAATCAGATTTGACTGAATCAATTCAGGACAGCGATTCACATTACCAAATCGAATCATTGTCCCCCAAATCTGAATCGAATACTAGCCGCTTCACACAGGCCTAGTTTCCTGCATCTAACTTACAAACTTCAGTGTCTTTAGCAAAATGCTCCTTAAAATGTTTTTTGGCCTCCCTGTTTTTCACACTTGACCTACCAGAGTTTGTGCGCCTTCCTGTCCAGAGTTTGCACACCTTCCATTTTTTGAATGATACCTTTTTTGCCTTCAATAGCCTCTTTACTGTAGTGATAAAGGTTAGACTTTGGAGATAGTTCCTTACAAGGGAATGTCTTATCAGGTGAGGAATTTGAACATGATCCCTGGGTAGTAAGGGGAACTCAAGATAGAGGCAGCCACAGGGTCTGTGCTAGAGGAACCCCCTGCTGTGGCATCATTCACGGTCTGTTCTGTCCTCATTCATAGTTGTGTTATTCACTGGGACCCAAGTCATTATACTTACTATACTATTAAACTATGAAGGATTTTTACTTTCCTGCCTAGTATCTTTTTTGATTTGTGGTACACACTTCTTGAACCTCTAATATGGCGTTTTTAAACAGCTTCCAGGCTGCCTGTAGGCCTCTTACATTCTTGAGCATTCCTTTTAATTTGATTCCAACTAACATCCTTATCTTGAATACCAGTCATTTTTCCTTCTAAAGTAAATACCAGCGCAGCAGATAAGAAAAAAATAAACCAGGAGATAACTTGATTATGAATTATAAGCACCTTTCCAGGGAGACAATGCTGGATTCTGATGACCTTTTTGGTCTAGCACAGAAAGGCTTAAGAAGAACCAGTGTATGGGAGTTTAAGCCAACACATTCAATTTAGAAAGAAGTATAAACTTCCTACAGGAAAGAAAGTTAATAATTGGAAAGAACTCCCAAAAAGGAAAGGTAGGCTCTCCATTGCTTGATTTTCTTCAAATCACTTTCTGGAAGTGAGGCTTTTGCTGGCCACAAGATCCTGGGCTCAGTACTGGGGCAGCTGGGTAATTTCTGCAGTTTGAGTCATGTAGGAAGTCAGATGAGATGATTTACAGGTAATGGTTTTTTCTGGCCTTAGATTCGTAAATTCACTCGCATAGTTTATCTCCCTCACAACTCAACAGTTTCCCCTTGTTCATTGTGAGGCTGAGAAAAGCCTGCAGGGCTTTAGGAAAACTCTGAGGTGACCGCAAGCATTTATCTTAATGGAAGAGGAGCAAGTTAGCCAGTCATTAAGAGAAGGTGTTTTGGAGGGACTAGACTGGCCAGCATTGGCCCTATGAGGCACCAAGGGAAGCGGAAGGCAACTGAGGGCCCTGAAAAGCAGACTGGGCAAAGGAAGGCCACCAGGCCTCTTTCTGCCACAGGTAGGGAAGATCTGTGAGCAAATGAAGAGCTGAGATTTATTAGGGCCCTGGAGGTCCAGTTTTGTTGGGGTACTGATTGTTGGAGGATGGGTTGCAAGACCAGGTCCAGGTAGATAATCAAGCGGATTCTCAGGTAACCTCTCAGAATGCATATCTGACTCCAATTTTGTAAGTTCTCTCTTTCCCAACTGTTGTCTCACGTTGTCTCCAGGACATAAAAAATCTGTAGGACTCACCTCTTTTGCTTTTCAAGCTGAATGCCTTTGATAACTATCTTGGAGTCTTCAACTGTGAATATCTGGTCCTTAGAGATATCCCATAGTGGTTTGGATACTATATCAATCCTGATTTTCACCAAAGAGTCCAGAATCCCCACTACAGTGCTGAAGAAGGTGAAATGCCAATTAATTAACCATCTTGCTGATCACACAAACAGAATCCTGTCATGTCCTCATTGCAGTGACCTCATTGAACTGCACTTGGAATTTCATTACAGCTGGTATGAAGCCAAAACACTGGTATAACAATGGAATGATCACCGTAAATAGCTGCAAACTGGAGAAAGGGGCAAAACATGACAGTAATTCTCTGAAATACAGGAGGAAACTATAACTAACAGCCCTAACCCTAACAGAAAAAGCATCTTACAACCTTTTGCCCCAGAACAAAATAAAGAGGGTTCAGTTTTGCCTGGAAAGATTTGGGAATTCAAGAATCTCAATGTGCTACATCAATCCCTGTCTTTTAAAATGAGTTTCATCAGGGACTGATCTGGAAAGGAGGAAACAAGGAATGGGTTTAAAAATAAATAAACCTCACCTCACCCAGAAGTACTGGATATTCTACATGCACTAGTTTTGGAGCTGAGACTTTAGAAAGGCAGCTAACAATAGGAACAAGGGAAAGTGTCTCTGTAGAGTCAGCTAGTCACAGGAGTTGGAGGCAGTAACATGGACTTGACAAGATGAAAATCCATTAGGGTAAGAAGGATGGTTTAATGTGTGGGGCATTAGAATAGGATGCTAGAGGTTTACATTCAGTCACCAGCTCAGACACAGTCTTCTGGTGTAGTTTTGTAAGTTAGTTTACTCTATGCCATGTCTTAGCTACCTATTGGTAAAATGAAGGAAATGACATCTTCCTAACACCTAGATCTACCTATGATGGCAAGATGCCCAGGTGCTAGGAAGTTGAATGCCAGATAAGTGCCTAGATAGATCACTCCATCACTGTCCTTACATCTCTACAAAGAACACATCCTCTAAGTTACTTGCCTTTTGCCCTCTACATTGAGCTCAACTGGAAGAGACAGGTGAATCTTGTTGCCAGGTGAAAGTGACATTGTTGTTGTCATGATGTAAATCTTGACAATCAGTAACCTGTAAAAGGAAAGGGAGTGAAGCAGTGAATGGATAGGAGGCACTCCTACAGGAATATATTATTACAAAAGCCCTATAGAGCACCCAGAGAACAAGCAATGAACATCTCAAAATGGCTAACTATGGAGGAAGAGGGAGGATGGGCTTATGGTTACAGCACTAATCTAGGACACAGGAAAACTGTATTCAGCTACAGCTTTCCATGTGGCCTTACCTATATTGCTTACAGCTGGATTCATAAAATCCATCCTAAAACAGGACTTAGGTAGAACTGAGGCACATACATGGGAAAAAAAAAGAAAAAAAAAAAGTCACAAATCCCCAAATTCCCAGCCATCTAGCCCTGGAAGTGGTCAAATTCACTAGTTTCCTCCCAGTTTGACTCAAAGGTTGCACTGCTGATGCACATTTGGCTTAATACAAGAACTAGGGGGCACATATTGAAATTATCAGAAGGCACATTTAAACAAACAAGATGATGTGCTTTTTTTTTTTTTTTTTTTTTTTTTAAATATATTAAAAACACAGTGAATAGTTAATGCATGGAACTTCTTGCCATGGGAGGCTGTAGAGGCAGATGAGTATGACCAAATTTAATAAGGGATTAGATCAAGGATGGATCCATTGAGAGTTACTAGGGGCTCAGTCAGATAGGTCTTCTCAGAGGAGACCATACAGGATCAGCCCCCTCAGAAGTTACAGCTGTGACCCTGCTTTTTTTTTTTTTTAAAACAGGGGTCAGACAGGGAGGAGCCACCTGTGCCCACATTTGATATAAGTCTAGCAGTTAGAGAAATTACCTTCTAGCCACACCACCTGCTCCTCCTCCACCTATGAGGCCTACACAGGTGCCTTTCTACTTTGCTGATGTACTTACTGGGTGATGCTCTGGATTAAGGTGAGTATATGGAGCTGAGCTCCATGGCTTTTCAGGTCTCCAGTTAGATTTATGTTTGGATCATCTCTGCCTTTTAGCAGTTCATTCACATCTGTGACTGTTTTAGGGAGTAATTTCATTATGTTCAGGGGCAAGATATCCTTGATCACATCTGCTAGTAAGTATTGGAGATCTACAAGCAAAGCAAACTGTCAGTGTTGTTGGTGTCGCACAACACAACTGCAGTGAGAGAGATTCTCAGTAAATATCTATCCCAATAAATGCCATGAAGCTTTATCAGCCTGCAACTAAACAATCATACTACTTTACAGGGGTGGAGAGGATTCACTGCTCATTACCATACTGCAGATGATCCATTGTAAGTGTTTCACATCTCTGTTCCTACTCCATAGTAATACAAGAGGCTAAACTGAGCCATTTTATACTGAAATAAACAGCTGCTACATTTCCAAAGTTTAGCTTCCACTTATTATGGATAGAACACACACAGAGAACACTTAAACTAGGTCAGCTGGACACATGGTAAGCTCCCCTTTTCAGTCTGTTATTGTTTCGTTTCATCCATTTAATACATTTGGTTTCTTATGCTTTTGGGTAATGAGGTAAATAAAATGTGTTGGTAAAATACAAAAAGCAATGGGTGCCTAAAAGCAATTTTTATGCAAATCCATTTTTTTTTTTTTTTTTACAAGTCTGATTCTTAAAAAAAAACTGCAAAGACTGTCCATCCCATTCAGGATGTTCTCAGTGCCATCCAGCTGGCTGCTGTGCCTACACAGCGGCAAGTACCATTCTGAGCAGTTTAAAAATGGATTCCCCCACAGTTACAGTTATCTGAGGAAGTGTTTTAGGGAAAAAGCCAGGGTCTGAAGGGCACTTCTCTGGATTATACCATTAGGTACTGAAGGAAGAAAAAGTTAGGATCATCATAGCTCCATGGGAATGAGCAGCCAGGGATTTAGCCTAGACAGGTGCTATGAGCCCAACAAGCCTGTTGAGTTATCTGCTCCTACCATTTGCATGTTGTCATACATCAGTCTCAAAGCACGCTAAAAGGTGAGCAGGTGTCAGTAACTTGACTAAATGATTTGCACAGTCATGCAAGTAGTAAGTCGCAGCCCTGAGCAATTAAATCCTGGGCCTCATGCAGCCTTGTGCTATCATTGCACTAGACCCACCTCTAAGTAAAAGATGAGCCCTGGGGTCCCTCACTGTGGGACAGAGTACCAGGCACACAACTTTGCAAATGCAGCCATGGAAACTATTGGAGCCAAGTTCTGCTGCCATTGAAGTAGATGGGATGTGGCCTCAGTAGGTGCTGTAAATCTAGGACAGCAGCTGTTAACTTACAGTCATTAAATGCCATGTCACGGATGCTGGCAGTGACAGTGGAATAGACAGCTGTGTAGTCAGGTGAACAGTCTGTGTTCCTTGTAGCTCTCATGACTTGCATTTGTACTAGGTAGCCCTGCTACAGCTTTGTCTCCACCAGCTGTATCATCTTCATTTCCACTCCTGCCAGGCAGGCCTGAAGTGCCTCTGATGCCACAGACCAAAATAATGAACAAGCAGCCGAGCTTTAACATCCTTGACTCCAGCACCTGTAAGGAGCTTTTCTATTGCAGTCATCCGACAGTGCAGCTGTAATTAGCACAATGGGCAGAACAGGTCTTGCCTTGGAAACGTAGATAAACTCATGTGAGAAGTAATGGAGCCCATGGGATAGAAAGGACCGATGGAGAGTCTGCCTGATAAGGAACATGCCAGTACAAAGGACTACAGTGGGCAGTGCTCTAAAGGGACACATTATCCAGCATCAGTCACTGGGTACTACGTAGCTGCTTTCCTATTCTCTCTTATCTCCCCTTTAATAAGTCAACCCCTACTACATCTCCTTCCCTGCCCCATATTCTAATCTCACTAAGTTCCTACAACCAAACACCATTTTTCCGCCCGTTACAAGCCTTCCTGCAACCCACCTCCAAAAGCCTCCATCACTGCAGCAAATTCACTTTCCCATGCTTCATTCTAATTATCTTCTGGTATAGGTCTAGGGCTGTTTTTTTTTTTTTCCAGGGCTCAGTGCACCTACACATATGTAGCCCAGGAATGAGACAATATAGGATCAAGTGAATCAGATAGGTTGTATAAAGGTACACCTTAGCTCCATAGCTGGAACGTGTTGTCCCAAAGGGCTACATTTTCTAAAGTGCTCACAGCCAGGTGTCCATGGTTCAGCCCCCCACAAACAGTCAGTGCCAACGTGGCCAAAAGTGTTCAGCACCCAACATGCCCCCGATGGGCCTGAGGCCTTTTGAAAATTCTATCCCCAAATGCCTGGTCATTAGATTTGCCCAGTAGAATTGCTGTACCTGGAATCCCAAGGCACTGCTGTATCAGCAAGAAACTTCTGATCAACACAGGATCTGCAGCAGCTGTACCAATTTTCCTCCTTCTCATTTTTAATCTCTGAGAACTGATAGCCCTTATATACTGAACGTCCTGTGCGTTAATGAGGGGGTAGCAGTGGGCTGAGTGCCAAGGTAATTGCTTTGGGTAACATACTCATGTGTTTTTACCTCTTGCCCCCTTCCAATGAAAATAAGTACAGGAGAATCTGATACTTTGGAGACAGCTGTGAGCTGCAGGTGTTCCATTTACATACAAGGTTAAAGCCAAGAGTTACCCAACTTCTTTGTACTCTAATGTATGTGACTGGTGAGGGAGTCACCTGCTAAGATATGACTTCTTGCAGACAGAGGCTATGCAACAGGAAAATGGGTCTTTGAAGAGAGGGCTTGATCCCCACATGCTAAGATCTGTGCAGGGACAAAGGTAGTTTTATGCAGCCTACATGCATGAAGTGAAATGCTGGGCCACTTTCACCCAGACCCAGTGGCTAGATTTCTGGAGACAAGGGGTAGAACAGGGAAGGACTCAGATGAAAAGGAATGTGGAAAAACATATTAACCTTCCTGTAAAAACTCCAGTGCTTCACTAGAATCAACCCAGGCACAAAGGGCATACTGAAAAGTAGAAGGGATGGAGCCACGGGGAAGGGATGCAGGAAGTGTGAAGGAATTGAAGGAGAATAGGGACTGCAAATTAATTGTAAGAAGGGGACAGGTTGATGGGTAGTAGAGAGGGCAGTGGAAAGGAAACTGCAAGAAAGACAAGTTAGAAGGGAGACAAGGAAGGTGTGGAAGGAGAAGGAAGCCAGTTGGATGGAGACAGTGTGGTTGGAAGAAAGCTGACAATACTCTTGACAGATGGCAGGGGGCAGGCGGTGAGATCAAACAGAGAAGGCAGGAAGCTGGAAATAGGGAGGAGTAGGTGGTGTCAGGGGAGTTACTCTCTAAGGCCTCTCCTGTTGATGCTGATTCATCATGGAAAGAAACACCCTGCCCTGAACAGCAGGGGGGGTATATGTCTAAAGCAGTGATTCTCAACCAGGGTGCTGGGGTGCCCTGAGGTGCCTTGAGATCCTTTCATGAATGACTGGTGCCTCTTAAGACTGGGGGGGTGCCATTTATAGACAGCAGCGTCAGCAGCGAGTCGGGGACTGCCCACAGATACCAGTGTCAGTGGCAAGGGGTGGCAAGTGGGGACAGCCCACAAACACCAGTGCCAACCCACAGATGCCAGTGTGCCTCCCTGTGACCCGCCATGAGTTGCCTATGTATGCAACCACAAATCACAAGATAAACCCAGAGATTTCACATAGGAATCTGTAGTGTTAAAAACATTCTGCCTTGTTGTTGTGGTCTATTTGACTTCTTTGCAACAAAAGAACTGCTCTATTACTTTTCTGCAGTTAAAAGACAAATGAAAATTAAGAGCTTGCATTTTCTGATGGGTGCCTTGAGGCTGAAAAGGTTGAGAACGCCTGGTCTAGACTTGCTGAAGGCAAGGACTTTTGTGCATGATATCTTTTAATTAGAGCAACTACATCAGTCCCTAGTGATGAATAATGTCTTGCATTCAAAATCTTGTCTAACTTTATTGAAATTGTGCAGTTCGTCCAATGAACGATATCACCAATAAAAACTCTTGCCTTGCACATATTTCCTGGACCATCATGGCTACAACATGACAAAATTACCAAAACATAAAGCTTCTGGACCAATTTCAATAGAAATATTTTTCCACTCCAAAAATTAGGTTCAATTATTTTTTTTTTGGTGAATTAAAAAACTTTTAGTTCCATTTTAGTTATTTAAAAAGAACAAAATAAAATTTTGGAAATGTTACATTTTTGGTTTTTTGCTCTTTTTCCTACTCAGTACAACAGAATGAAAGGAGGTCATGGGCAAAAGGGAAGGGGGGGGGGCATATTTACCACTTGGTTTTTCATTTTTATTTTGCCACCCAGTCATTGTTGCCAAATTGAAGTATTTAAAAATCAGAAGAGAAGAAAAAAGAAAAAGGAGAAAAGAAACAAGAAAGAAGAGATAAAAGGAAACAAATACTATTTGTTTTGTTGCATGCTGGGATTAGAAAGGAAAGAAGAGAAAGAAACGGGACAAAAAATAAACTTCTATAAAAAGATTGATTATTTTTTAAAACAGAATCAGAATGAATTCTTCAAGGTAAATATTTAGTTCTGAAATTCTCTTGTGACATTTCAAATAAATTTTTGTTTGAAATTTTTTGCAGGAAAAAGGGGGCTCTACAAATGCTGAGAGGACAAATCTGCAAAGTAATGGTGGGAGCCTGTTTTTCCAGGCATGTGTTAAGGAACAATGCTTGTTTCTCTGAGCTATCAGGCTGAAAACACAGCAGCAATACAGGACAGGAATAGTGCAGGTAGTGTTACCAAAACCCGGGTACCATTTGGTCTTTAGAGATACAAGACTATCTTCTGTTTATGATCAGGACCTCTTTTGCAAGCTTGAATAGGATTAGGGGAAACTTACAATTCCCTTCATGATTACCTGTTTTGTACATAAAATCAGAATGCAATGATACCTCCCAGAAATCCACCATTCCCTCTTAGCAGGTAGGGTATTACTACCACGGGTGTCAGATAAAGTGGCAAGAGACAGATTTATTGATTACTCTCCAAAGTACAAAATAAGCTCTTGTCTCAAGGGTGCACAATGCCTTTCTAGCTATCTGCAACAGCACAATACATATTCTTACCTATACTTGTTAGGGAGACTCTGGAGGGAGGAGGAGGGTGGCACACAGATTGGCAGCAGGTCGCCTTGAACTGTGTTACATTTCCAAAATCCACCACTGTTTACACCCAGTATTTGTGTGGCTAAGTATTCCCAGATTGGTTTTACTCACTTATTTGTTTCACTGAGACTTGGGGAACTGGACTGAACTGGTTTTTCTATGGACTTGGAAGGTATCAATGAGCTGGCATCTATGTAATTTGTGACAATTACAGTCCTGGAACAGAGGACTTCATATCTCTTTCCCTCACCATCTGAGAATGCTACTTGTAATGTCCTGTTTCTTTTACTCTGCTGGCTGGGCTAGTTGTAATGTCTGCAAAGGTTCATTGTGAAACAGGCTTTGAGGGCTTTGGCTTTAGCTGTGCTTCTGTAGTTTAGCATGAGTCCCTTGAAAGTGGCCACAGCTGACAACAGATAGGTTTGGTGGTGGAACCCTCCTTTTCCTCTGTGTTTCTGGATCCACACCCCAAAGCACCTTTAACTCCCACTTTCATTTCTTTTCTACACATAACATAAATTTTACAATTTAATTCATATCAAAAGGCAAAGCATCAGTTGTTGCATTTAACTCCTCTTAAGCAGCTATTTGCTCTTGGCCTCGTCTCATATCAGTGGCCTTGACAAACAAAGTCTTATTCTACTTTTCCAGGCTACTGCTTGTGGCTTAATTGCAAGCTTATTAATTATTATGTGTGTATCCCCTTAAGCACATACTACTAATAACTAAGGCTTGTGTCATGTCTACAGTCTGTACCTGTCTGTGTGCTCTGTCAGTCACTTACCATGTCCACAGTCTACAGGAGGGTTGGTCACTCACTATTTTTGCATTTTCTATCCAGATTTGTGTTTGATAACTGCATCCAGCAGAATTCGATCAATCAATCAGTGGATGCATCTCCAGTAAAACCAAAGAAGTGACTCTCCTGCTTTACTCAACATTGGTGCTGCCGCAGCTGGAGTATTGTGTCCAGTTCTGGCACAAGGACATGCTAAAGCTCGAGAGGGTCCAGAGAAAGGCCACCTGCATGATCAGAGATGTGCATGGCAAGCCATATGAGGAGAGGCTGAGGGATCTGGGGCTCTTCACCTTTAAGAAAAGAAGGCTGAGAGGGGACCTGATTGTGGCTTACCACTATATCAGAGGTGTACATCAGGGACTTGGTGAGAAGAGAGACAGGATGGTCACCTGGCTGGAGTCATCTGACCCCAGATGTCTTTCCTGCTCATGCAGGGGGCTGGACCCGATGATCCTTCAGGGTCCCTTCCAGACCTATGATTCTATGATTCTAAGGACAAAGTTCCCTGAAATGAGAACCAATTTTGAGAAACAAAATTCACCATAGTTCCTTGCCTTAGCAGAGGAAGACAGCTCCTGACCTTGGCTTTCTGTCACGATCGCAAACTAAGCAGTTTGTTTTCTCCTTTCTGAGGTGATTCTGAGCAGCTGATTTAAGGGCTAAGTGCCAAGTACAGCACATTATAATCCTTTATGCTGTGCCAAAGTACAACAGCCCATTTGTTTTGCAATCGTAGGCTAAAGGATCCATACCAACTGACTGTCTTAGACTCCATCCTGACTTACTGGGGTGTCAGAAATGAGTGCAGTCTGGACAGACAGCTTGACAAGGAAGAGCTGACCACTGATGTATTTCAGGAAATACCACACAAGTAAGCTGGGCTTCTCAGAACTTCCAGTGACTTAGACCCAGGGCTCCAGATTTGGCTCTCATACGGGGGGGAGGGGGGGCAACATTCAATGCAAAGAGCACTGTCCCTCCAGAGAAAGTAAGACCAGAGGGAATACAAACCTCTCTGTACCATATTGTATGTTGTTTTGGTAATCATAGCTAAAAGGAGAACCTGGCCAGTGGCTCTATGGCTATGCAAATGTGAGTTTAGGAAGATATACTCAGAAAAAATATATGTAACCTGGGTGTACCTGGTTGTGTACTCCCTTCTCCAATTGAAGAAAGATGCTAGCAGGGCAGGTGTGCTGTGTGGGAAAACTGCTGGCAGCATGCAGTTTCCTCTTTCCCCTACAGAGAGCCAGACCAACACACTCTATACTTTAACTATATACAAGGTTATTAATATTACAATATAAATAAAAAAAGATGAAAAATGTGTATAAACACACACACAAGACTTACAATAACAAGGATTAAAGGCAATATTTACACAGTTTTATAACCTCTCTCAGGATACAGTTCCTCTCTCAGGAATTTTATTATAATAAAATTCTAACCTAAGTTTCAACAAGTGTTTTATAACCTCAAACTCTATCAAAATTTAAATCTACTTAGATATTAAATATAAATCTACATATATACTCTATCAAATACTTAGCCTCATAATATTAAAGATTTCAATATCACTCAATAATTTTAGACTTTATTAACTTACACTTATAAAAAATGAAAACTAAACTACACAATATCTGGCACCCACTCGCAAAATATAAGGTGCAACACTCTTGAATATAATTAACTCTTTTAGGAACCCCAAGGCCCAGGCTAGTTTGGAGCCTTGGCTGTGTTCCTGTGGCTGCAAGGTTGGGGAGAAGTTCCCCTGGTGCCCTTCAGGCTTTCCCCAGCCCAACCAAAATATCTTCTAACCCAAAATAAAACTTTAAAGTTGGGGAGCCCTGGCTTTCTGGGCTTCCCCTTTGGTGGTCGGCTTCTCCATCTGGGTGGATTCCCCCTCCCCTGTGGGAAATCCCTTCCCTAGGAACTCACAACTCCAGGCACCTGGGTGGAGGGTCCTCGTCTCTCTGCAAGAGAGTTACTGCCTCTGTTGCTGAGGCTCCAGCTGTCTCTGACTCCCTCTGGGCCTGCTGGCCACTGGTAGCCCTGTGCACCACTTGCACTCTTCTGCTCAAGGTTGGAGCCCCAAGCTGCCTTGCAGGGTTTTGAGGTCTTGGTTTCGACTGGGGCACTCCATGCAAAGCTTCAGCTTTAAATGCCTGGCCTCATGCAAGGTGGGCATTGTAGACTTCAGCTGCCCCATGCGGCTCCTGGGGTTTGGGTCCGCTCCCAGACCTTCCGTGTAGCACTGCCTGCACTGAGTCTTCCTGGTCTCATAGATTTCATAGACTTTTTTCATAGACATTTGGGCTGGAAGGGACCCCGGAGGATCATCGAGTCCAGCCCCCTACCACAGGGGCAGGAAGTCAGCAGGGATCATAGGATCCCAGCAAGATAAGCATCCAAATGTGTCTTGAAGGCGTTCAAAGTGGGTGCTTGAACGGCCTCCGGTGACAGTCTATTCCAAACCTTGGGGGCTCGGACAGTGAAGAAGTTCTTTCTTATGTCCAGCCTGAATCAGTCACAGTGGAGTTTGTGACCGTTCAATCTTGTCATCCCATGGGGGCTCAGGTGAACAGACGTTCCTCCAGATCCTGGTGAGCACCCCAGATAAACTTATAGGTGGCCACCAGATCACCTAAGCCTGCGCTTTTCCAGGCTGAATAGCCCCATTGCTCTCAGCCTTTTGTCATAAGGTCTGTTTTCCTGACCTCTGATCATGCGCGTGGCTCTCCTCTGCACCCTCTTAAGCTTCTCCACATCCTTTTTGAATTGTGGAGCCCAAAACTGGATGCAGTACTCCAGCTGCAGCCTCACGAAGGCTGAATACAGTGGGAGAATGACGTTCTGGGATCTGTTTGAGAAGCATCTATGGATGCAAGCCAGCATTTTGCTTGCTTTACTAGCTGCAGCATCACACTGAAGGCTCATGTTCATCTTGTGGTCAACCATGACCCTCAAGTCCCTTTCATCTGTAGTGCTAACCAGCGTAGCACTACCGAGCCTATAAGCATGGTGCAGGTTTTTCCTCCCAAGGTGGAGATCTTTGTATTTTTTGGTGTTGAACACCATCAGGTTCTCATCTGCCCATTTCATGAGTCTGTCCAGATCTGCCTGGATCACCCTCCTATCCTCAGATGTGGATGCTTTATCCCAGAGTTCGGGGGCGTCGGTGAACTTGGCCAGTCTGCTTCTGACACCAGGTCTCATGCCAGGGGTTGGAGACCTGAGCCACCTCATATGGCTCCAGGGCCTCAGTCCCACTTGGACTGTGCCATGCACCATCCCTGCATCAAAATCCTGGTTGTTTTCCAGGGGCTGGGGACCCAAACTGCCTTGTGCAGCTTCCAGGGTCCTGGTTCCTCTTGGACCTACCACGCCGTGCTGCCTGCACCGAGCCCCTGGCCTCATGCCAAGAGCTGTGGACCCAAGCTGCTTTGTGCAGCTCCCAGGGTCTCTGCTCCATGCACCGCTTGTGCACTGTGCATCTGGCCAAACACCAGGGGATGCAGACCCAAGCTGCCTCATACAGCTCCCAGGGTCTGACTCCATGCGTGTAACTGTGCACTGCCATCGTGCTTCTCAGCAGCACGGCTGTGGGCCGCACCGCTCACCACTCCCATCCAGCAAGGAGGTCTTTGGGGTCTTCAGAGCTACTGCTCTGCCCTGCTGGGAAGCTCTCCCCAGCTCCTCTTAGTCCTGCTCTCTTCTTCGTCCCTTGACACTGTGGGTCCATCCACCAGGCATGCTGTTCTTTTATACCTTTTGGAGGCTCTGCCCCCAGATTGTGACAGGACCAATCAGGTTGTGGGGAAGTATAGCTCTCACCCAGGTCTAGGCTCTTTGCCTCATGGGGGGCGGGCAGCCTCTCCTTCACCACCACCTGATTGGTGGGAATGCCCCACCAATGGCTCAAAGCCCTTTCGAGTCAGCAACCTGGGCTGCTACTGGCATGCCCGCCACATACGAAAGCCTGATCTTCCTGTAATGAGGGCTATACTTCCTATGGGTAACCCACACAGTGAACTGTTAGTCCAATGATGTCTTTAGAGATTAGCAGGAACTATGAGGGTGATCAAGCAGCTATGAGGGTGATCATTCTAACTACGAGGGTGATCAAGCAGCTTTGTTCCCTAGTATACAGGTGATGGAGGGTGTGAAATCTTCATCCCTGGAAATTGCCAAGAGCAGGTTGAACAGACACTTGGCTAGGATGGTTTAGTCACGGATGTTCCTGTTCTGAGTGGGGAGCTGAACTGGATGACACTGTGAGGTCCTTTCTAGCTCTACTTTCCTATGATGCTAAGATCCTAATATTATACAGCATACTGTGGCATGTTTAAAAATATGTCAGCCCTCTAGTTGAGAATCACTGCTGTAGAGTGATACTAATGTCTGTCTGTGTCTTTGTAGATATATAAAATGAGAGTGAGTGTGTGTTAGCAAAACATGCCAGGCACAATTTAAAACACACACACACAATAAACAAACCAACAAAATGGCTCACTGGTCATTAGCCAATATAGGACCTCTGTATCAGCAGTGTTCAGCTTGTGACATCCAGGGAAGAGCAGTCATCCAATCACAGATGCATTTGGCATCCTTCACAGGTTCTCCAACAGCAGTCCATGATGCCACAGACATGATCGCTCTTGACACAGAAAACAACTTCAGACCTGAAACTGTTAAACTGGCTCCAGGGTTAGGGTTGGAGCCCAAGGGTAGGTAGCTGTCCATCTCACCTGGTGATGGTGGGGCAGTTCTTGGGAGTGCTAGAAGTACTTTCCACTGCTCTTTTCCATAATGAGCTGGTGACATTCTTAGCTGGATGGAGAGCATACAGCACTGTTCATATAGGGCCATTACTGCACAGTCAGTGGTGGGCTGGACCCCATATTACCTTGAACAGTGGCAAATGTGACATGCTGTGCCTTGGGGATCAGTCTGTTGGCTGCATTCTGATATTAGATGTTGGGTGAGGGAAGACTAGCTGTGTTGGTTTCTATGTATCTGTGAAATTCCATGTGAGAAAAGGAATAATCATACTGGTATATGGCATTGATATGGCACTTTATGGTATAAACAGACATCATGTTTGGAGTGGGATCAGCTGTTCCAGGATGTGTTCTAGGTTCTCCTTTTGCACTTGTGGACATGTCCCCCAGAAGCCCCGGGACCGCCTGCCTGGGGCAGTTGGAGAGTGCAGGCAGCAAACAGATGTCAGCTATGAGAAATGGCATAAACGACCACTAGAAATCATCATGCTTATTTGCAGTGTGACAAAGGGCTAAAACATCTGTTACCCTGGGTTTTGTGCTGCCATAAAAATGTTTATGGCAGCACAAAGATGGTGTCTCTTTGTATCTCTAGAGAAAAAAAAAATGTGTTGCTAAGGCCTAGCCTTCGTCTCAGAGTATCTGCTTACATTTCTCAGCAGTGAGTCACGGTGCAGCAGAGAGGAATGGCTGGTTCACAGGTGTCAGGTATCTATGAAGCTGGAGGTGGGTCTTGACATTTCCCGAGCAAAGGGAGAACCTATCTGAGGGCAGGGCTCCTTCTCTGGAAAGGAAGGGCTGGGGAAGGGAAGAAAAAAAAATCAACACAGGTTTTCTTCTCAATCTCATCACACTCTCAAATTCTTACTCCAGCTGAGTCCAACAAGGGTCATCTTCCATAGGCCTGGCACTTGCCATTTATTTTTTTTACCAGCCCCTTTCCTCCCAGAGAAACAGAAGGATTTGCCTCCACTCTTTCTGTCTGAATTCAACTCAAGTGGAAACAACCATGCAGTTACAGGTGAGCAGCTGAGATGCAACTCAGTAATGACACTGATGATTTTTAGGTTTATTCCTATTTTTTTCAGCTTAAGCAAATGTTAGGAGTAAGTGTCATTATGACTGTTTTTTCTTATTAAGAATCCAACCTGATATCTGTATGCTAGGGAGCAAAGCTGTCCTCAGGAAGATCAGCATGATGGAAATTACCATGACTGATGATTAGAAATTTTCATTTAATCCTAGAAAATCTTTATCAACACAGAAGAGTTTAGGGCCACTGGTTTGGTGTCTGTTTTGTGCTGTGGGTGTAAGGAAGGAATAGTTCCATTAGGCAGTTACTGAAGATTAAACTATAATCCCCCTCCACATGCAGAGACCATACTTGATAAACAGGCCCAGAGCCTTCCCTGAGGCATGGGGGAAAAAGGTGCTGGTCACTGGAAGGAAGGGAGTGCTCTGTTGAAACTCGTACTGTGTTCTGTTACTTGGCACTGACTTTTCTGGGGAATATGGCTGACCACACACCAGCCTTAGATACCCTCAGCATTACCACTGGAATCTGACTTTAATTTTTGCTGCTTCTGCCAAACGCTGCAGTAATTTCAGTGTTGCTGTAATGTCTGATGCTGCTACCCATGAACTAAGAGCCCAGCTCCCGGTAAAGGTGCAGGAGCAACCAGTTTTGCTTTTTACTGCAAAGGGGACTGTACAGCAAATGGAGTGATTACATATGTGCACAGGGATCACTGGATCCCTTGTCTCCTCCAAGTGAAGGGTGTTGCACTGCCGGCATTTCCAAATATTATCTTTGTATTTGAACCCCTTGTGGTACACTGTCCAAAGCCAGCATTAGACTCATTAGGACTCCATGAAGTGTTTAAGGAGTGGGCTTCTCCCTTTTCTGACTGCCTATTCATAAATCGTGTTGACTTAGCCTAAGGCCTTAGACAATTGTCCTGGCTGCTCACTCCTCAAACTATCTCTGTTTATTTCCTTTCATCCAGATTCTGTGCACATTTCCTCTGCCATTGGATGAATGCAACAAGTTTAATGGATTCCAGTGCAACTTTGTGTTGCAAACGTTTGCCCCGTGAATCCAGGAAGCCTCAAGCACAATAGAAATGGCAAGAGAAGGAGTTTGGTTTTGCTCCCATGTTTAAAGCCAGCAAACATGTTTGTCTGTTGCTCTTTGTGAATGGGTAGTGAAAAATCAGTGTGGGCAGAAAAAATATTCCTGGAGTACATGAAATGGAACAAGCCTATCTTTTATTGAGGGCTAAATTGCCAGTTTAACTTCCACTTATCACAGGATAAAAGCATGTACCTAAGCAGCTAGTGTAAGGCAGCTGACACACAGTAAAGCCCTGTCCCCTTTTGCTTTGGAGTAACTTGTTTGTATGTCCATGCCCTGGGTAGCCAATTCCACTGACTACCACCAGAACTACCACCTAACTTCCTTCAGCTTCTTTCAAACCTCATGGGCTAAAAACATTTCCTATGCATTGTCTCCTAAGAGCCATGTCTCTAGAGAGGTTTCCTTTCACATAGCTTTTTGCTTATATAATTGTCTCAGCTGTGAAATGCGGTTATTATTAACCGTCTTCAGTGAAACATAGCTTACTAGTGACTCAGTAAGCTACCCACCTGCTGGAGCCATGCTCACTGTGTGTAGTTGGAACAGCAATGCCCTGTTTGGTGCTTGTGTATGTGTGCTCATGAAAAAAGTCAATGGGGAAACAAAAGAATAGAGAGTTGATGTGACTTAAGGTTACCCAACTGGCCCATAGCAGGGCCAGGAAATGAATCGTGTCTCCTGAGTCCCAGACCAGTGATCTTACAGTGCATCCCTTACTTGTACATGGCCTGCCCTGGATTTGGTGAGGTCATAGTTATGGATAAAAACCAAAATCCTGTCCTGAGATGAAAACCTCCCATCTCCTACACCAAATCACCACCATGGAGGTAGATAGGTATTTCAGCATGTGAAGCTTGGTAGATTAATTGGATGGGTTACTAAGTAAATCCTGCACAAAGATGACTTGTATAGGATTGCTCTTTCACTTATATTACACAACCAGTGAATGGTTTATCTCCACTGCAGAGGCAGTGAACCTACAGCAAGATGCTTACCCACCCCTGGCACTCTTATGTTTGTTGACATGCCTAGAAGTAAACCTAGAAGTATACCAATGAGTATACCAAACCTAGAAATATATCAATGAGGCTGCTCTGGGATGGACCTCAGTGACTGCTGTCAGGTGCACTGGATATGGAGAACTCAAGAATTGACACAGAGGGATGAGCCCAGAGTAGGCCTCTGGTTTGTTTTTGGGTCTGGAGTGTGCCTGCAGGCCTGAGTAGTGAGGTGTGGGCAGGGCATGCTCAGGCCTCTTGATTCCAGGAGTTGTTGCTGTCATAGTGTTGATAAGCTTGAAGTGGGCAATCAAATTGGCAAAGTGTAAGGAAAGGCAGCTGCAGGAATTTGCAGCTTCTTGATGAAGGGTTTAAAGTAGTAACTGAGGGAGTTCAAGTGCATGGCTCTGAATCAGTGAGTTTGGCTGAGATGATACTCTCTGCCCAGTGGCAGATATGGAAACTTATCTGCTAACGTATATAGAATGCATGGGGAAAGGCAGAAAAATGCTGGGTTCTGAATGCAGCCCAGCTGGCTAAACCAGCCCTAGCTAATCTCAGGCTGAGGTGGCCCAGTATGCTGGAAGCAGCATCATACCTAGACTCCTGGCAGCCCTGGGTGAACTTTTAGCATCAGGCCCCCCTTTGCCAGAGATAATGATAAGAATAATTTAAAAATTACCATTTTCAGACCCCCTTTCTGTCCGGGCCCCAGGTGGCCACCTGGTTCACCCATGCCTGTGTCCAGCCCTGGCGGGATGGATGCAGAGAAAGCAGCAGATTGCTCATCTGTCTTGTGTAGCCATGAATCTCATTGCAAAAGCTGACTGAGACCACCACTGTGTCTTTAAGGCAATAATATATACTGGTATCAACATCTGACAAGCCAATCAGTAAGATCCAGGTAGCCAGGGAAGTCTGAGACTCTTAGGCAGGGCTCTGTTCACCTGCCAGTATGTGAGAGTGCTACTGGTGTTAAGAAAGTCAGAAAGGGAACCAAGTCTCATCTTTTTCACAGTGACCGCATCTACATGAGATGCTGATCATGCAGTTGTTACTGTGCAGTCATTTAGTACTTGCATACCCAAATGACTGCTTAATAACCGGCATTACTGCACAGTAGCATCCCCACAGCTTCCAGGTGACATGGACTGTGGAGTACCCCATTACTACTGTGCAGTAACTCGTTACTGCTACACAGTAGCATCGTGTCATGGTTTGTGCCCTGCGATGCTACTGCACGGTACTAACAAACCAGTGCACAGTAGAAATGAGCTACTATGCAGTAACCATCTTGTGTAATCTTGTGTAGACGTGGCCAGTGAAGAGGAAAGATGAAACTCAGGTCTGCACAGGCCACTGGGCTGAGGGCCTGTCAGTGACAGAGCTCTTATACTGCACTCATCACCCATCGCTGTTGAAGAAGGTCAGTACCCCATGTCACCCAGAAGGCAAGTGGCAGATCCCAGAGCACATTTCTATAGTGCCAATCATCAGACTGCACAGCACACCAATGGCTGGACAGTCTGTGACCACTCCCTGGACAGGAGCACTGAGTCGGAGAAAGATGCCTGGGTGATGAGGAGGGCAAACCATTGCAAGGCCTGGACACTGCTGCAACCACAGAACTGCTGCCACTTCTGAAGACAGTACCCCTTGTGCCAGTATTGCCCATACTGGTCCAATCTAAACTTTTATATTCTCCCTACTCCCCTACCTAGAATAATTAAAGGGCCATACTCTGGTTCCAGCAGTGTTAATGAAAAATGACTATTGTTTTATGCACAGGGTAGAACTTGACCTATACTGCATGGTGAGAAAAATTCATATACCTACCCAGAAAGCTGCAACCTGTTTAGACATGAGGAAGTGCCCTCTGTGCATGCAGATTGGACCAGTATGGGCAATACTGGCACAAGGGGTACTGACCTGGGACAATCTGTCCCACACTAACCCTACATGCAGGGGAACGAGGAGCAGCAGATAGCAGTGGCATAGATTTGTGCCACTACTATTCTTGCTGCAGCAACTGCATGCCCCTGCATGTGGGTATGTGCCCATTATGGCTTGTTTGGTCTATCTACAGTGGGGTTTTCTTGCATCAAAAACACTAACTCAAGTTACCTATGTCAATAGAAAAATACATCTCTTGTGCAATTAAACCCAGAATAGGATTATCTGGTAAAATAGCCATTTTCACCACAGCCAAATGTTAAGCATATGTGCCTCTCAAGTCCATACTAGAATATGTATTTATTAGTGGTCTGAGAAATGAAAGTTGGCAGAAGAAGTCTTGGTGACCAAAGACATCCACTGCTGTCTGTACTTGGTAAGAAGCCTGGGCCCCATTTTAACACAGAGATGTAACTGAAACTGTCTGCTTCTTCCTAACCTCCAAACCTCTTTATTGAAAAAGTTATCTTAGTATGGGAAACATTTTCAAATGTGTCTAAAGTTCAGACCCTAGTGAACTGATTTCCATGGGACTTAGCTGCCTAGATAAATTTGATATACCGTCTCAGTAACTCTTTCCCCTAAATCTCTATCTCTTCCATATATGTTTGCTTCCCAGGTAAAAGTGACAGCTCAAGTTCTGCTATGCTTAGTCTTTCGCCACACATTCAGTGCCCACACCCCCTGCCAGGAACCTTCAGATGCAGAGCTAGAATCTATACTGAACCCCTATCTTGCTTCTGGTGCTAGCTTATTGGTTCAAGCAGATGAGGTTTTGCCTGATCAGGAACTGAAGGCATGCCCTGTAAATGTCAACCAGACTTCTTCCCATCTCCAGGACAGAAGTACCTCACCCTGGTCATACAGGTAAGCTGCTGATAGAGGAGCAAAGACTGTCTCAGCAACTCTAAAGTCCAGTGACATGGCCTTATGTTCAGAACTTGGAAACCCTCCAGCTCTCATTCATTGGGATGTGGATCTGCATTTCCTTTGTCTTAAAGGGCCATGCTCTGTAGAGAAGCTGAATGCTAGTGCTCATGTTTCCTTGGCCATCTGGCTGCACCTCAGATGGACATCCTCTTGATGCTGACAGTTCTGGATGCAGAGGTGGAGCAGCCAAGCCATAACTCCTTTATATAGTGTTCACTTAGATAGTTCTGACCTGTTATTTGTCGGTGTGGGAGGCCACTCTGCCTTTCTCTGTGCCTCTGTTCCCATTCTTGTAAGCTAGAGCTCTCTTAGCCTGGGGAGCAGGGCAGGGATTGACTCCTGGATTCTGTTGTTGCTCTTAACATGGTGGCACTGAACAAATACAGAGCTGCATTATTGATGATTCTTGAATGGCTTTGGCAGCCCCTAACTGAAGTGTCTGAGTAAGTGCTCTGTTTTACTAGGACCAAGTTTCAAATTCTCTTTGTTTTAACAGAGTGAGCGAAGACCCCAACCGGTACCCTCAGAAGATAGTGGAAGCCTACTGCCTGTGTGAGGGCTGCCTGGTAAATGGCCAGGAAGACAAGGCTGTGAACAGTGAACGCTTTTACCTGGAGGTGCCAGTGCTGCAGAAATCCAACCAGTGTAAAAGGGGGCAGTATGTTTACCAGCCCAACCATCTGCAGGTTGCTCAGTTTTGCTTTTGCAGTTTTCCCTGACATGCCAGAGCTGCAAAGTACTTTCACTTCTGCCCATCACCTTGCAGCCAATCTCGCTGCTGCTGCCAACACAGCACTGCCATTGTCACTCGTCATCAGAATGAGCTGATGAAAACCTGGAGGAGCCAATGCCATACTGAAACATCAATCAGTAGGCTCTTTAGTACCGCCCCTGAATATCACCATAGGGCGCACTACCTAGAGACACATCTACAGACCAGCACACAGCCTCACAGCCTTTGCTAACACCACCCATGTTCTCTAGGGGTATTTACAATGACAAGCCTTATTGCAAAAGTGGTTTCCTTGTGACCTCTCTTTCCATGGGGATGTAGGCCACAGACAAGTGTGACTGGCTCCTTCTCAGCTTCACTTAATGCTAAGGTGGATGTGATCTACAGACCATAGAGTTCTCCCTCAAATACACTTTGTAGTTAACCCATTTTAATGCAGCCTGAGACACAGCTCTTAAGATGGCAGCTGCTGATTTGCAGTTAGACTCTAAGCCTGGAACTTGGAAATGGTTCATTAATAACAGTAAGATGAAACCAAAAAGTCCCTTCTTGATGCCACTTAAAAGCATCCGCACAGTTAGCTTTTTCTAAAAAAATAAGCCTATGCTATTTTACAATAGTCGGTGCAAGCCTGCAGCATGCCTCCAGAAGCCAGCATGTTTGGCACCAGTGCTGTAGATGTAAAACACTGGAGTAGTTCTTTCAGTAGTGGAAGAAATAGCTTTACTTCTGCACTGTTCACTGGAGACCTCCAGGAGAGGGAAGCATGGCTTAAAACAAACCTTGGATTTCTCTGGGGACGAAGCATTTTATTCTGGGATTCCACTGACCAACAGGCCCATTGTCCCACTTTGAGCCTGTGATTTACTGAAATAACCCTTCTCCCCTCAACAAGTGGGGCTAATTCAAGTTAATGGAAGTTCACATTGCATGTGTAAAAGACTGTCCTATGCCTGTATTGATGCAAGTCAAACCAAGGGACAACAGCTAAACCTGACACCTGTTTTTAGCCTATGTTCCTTTCCCATGTGGACTTGCTTCCCCTCCTCCCCTACCAGGTTGTTGCTGAAATGGGCTGTGAGGGAAACCAGGAACGACCTTGATCCTCACTACTAATAAATGATTTTTGACTTGGAGCTGTGCCTAGTTCTTGGTGGACATGAACATTTCTGATGGGTCGGTTGGTAACATCAGTGCCTGCTTGGCTTTAAACACAGGCTGTGTTTGTACTTCGTTGTACATTTTAAAACTATGTACAATGCTGCTGTCAGAGGCCTGGACTTGTCTGCCACTAAACTGCTTACGAGGAGCAACACTCCTACACTGCAGTGTGTATGGACAGAGCCTTCCAACTGCACAACTGACAGAGACACTCCCCCTTACCCCCAGCTCCCTGTACTATAGGGCCTTCCAGAATGTGCTGTTTACTGCTTGCTGGAATCACTGGGTGTGCGCATCTTCTCTGTGCCATCTCCAGCTGGTTGGACAGCCCTGCTCTGTAGGGATTGAAGGATTTATTTCAAATCTGTGAGGAACCCTCCCTGTTCCCCAGTCAAATCCTTCTGGACAATCATAAATCAGCTAGCCAAAGATTTTTCTGGTTATCTTATCCTCATGCTGCTTCAGCCAGGTTAACACCCCCTGAAAGTTAGTTTCCAAAGGATCCTCTCCCAGTTTGCTGTTTATGAGATGTGGAATATTTAGTTTCTGTCTGGGCACTAGGGGCCTACTCAGCCAAGTTCTGTAGGAATCCATCCACCATAGGAATCCACACCAGCTTTGTACTGCAGCCACAATTAATGGGTTTAGCTTCTAATTGCAGAGTAGCCACCAAGCTCTAGACACCTGAATCCTTCCTGGAACTACACATGTAATTACACATAATGGAACTCAACATGCTTTTCATGAGCTTGATCTCATCTAATTTCCCAGTGTCCCCCAATCAACACTGCTTGATTGCAGCACACTGAAGCAATCCTAACGAAGAAAACAGGGAGAGGTAATTAGCTGCTTTAGTCTGAAGGAAAGGTAAAGGTACTCCTTATGGACTACCTAAAAATAGAATGATAGAATCATAGATAATTAGGGTTGGAAGGGACCTCAGGACGTCATCTACTCCAACCCCCTGCTCAAAGCAGGACCATCCCCGACTAGATCATCCCAGCCAAGGCTTTGTCTAGCCGGATCTTAAAAACCTCCAAGTATGGAGATTCAACAACCTTTCTGGTAACCTGTTCCAGTGTTTTACTACCCTCCTAGTGAGAAAATTCTTCCTAATATCTAACCAAAACTTCCCTTGCTGCAACTTGAGACTGTTGCTCCTTGTTCTGTCATCTGCCACCACTGAGAACAGTCTAGCTCCATCCACTTTCGAACCCCCCATCAGGTAGCTGAAGGCTGCTATTAAATCCTGCCTCAGTCTTATCTTCTGCAGACTAAACACGGTTCCCTCAGCCTCTCCTCAGAAGTCCTGTTCCCCAGCCCCTCTCACCATTTTCATTGCCCTCCACTGGGCCCCTACACCAGGGGCTGCTTACAAGGAACCCTATGAAGAGAAGGGGGCACGCTGTTACCGTCACAAGGAGAGCAAACAGTCAGGTGGGTGGCACAGCAAAGGAGCAGTCCCTAGTTAAATGCATGGACTTGTTCTGAGATGCAGTTGCCTTGTTTTATAGAGAATGTCATTACTGCATTGAAAGAATATGAGATATGCCAGCTCCAAGAGGGTCCTGGAAGTCGCCTTCCAGGTGGGCATGCATGTTGGATGATGGCAGGGTTCTAATCCCAACAAGGTATTCTGTCTGCCCCCCCACACCCCGTAGTCTTGGATGAATATAACCAAGGAGGGTTTTCCATGCCATATCACCAGTTTTGCCTTCCCTCCAACGCTTTGTTTTCTTCTGGGCTCCCTGGATTCTGCCAGTAGTCCTATGTACATTGGTTGCTGGGAAAATCCCATCTTGTCACTGTCCTGTCTCCTGATAAACAAGAGAGATTAATATGAACCCCTACATTTCAGGGTGCTTTTATGACCTCTCAAGAGCAACCACTAGCACCATCAAAGTGGGTTTGCAAGTTGTTGTATCAGTCCTCAGTGGAAGGAATCCAGGTCGCTTGTATACCGTGAGCTTTACATGTTGCTGAGTAGTGTTCATGGAAGTTAAGTAAGCATCGATTCCCAGGCCTGAGGCCAGATTCTGTTCAGCCTAAAAAGTGCATATGTGTCATGGGGGAATTAATACATGAGTCAGTTGGGTCCAGGCCAACTGGGCCCCTGCCTCAGCACAGACAAAACCAACAGCTGAGCCAGGCCTGACATGTGTAATGCAGCAGGCTGTGGCTGCTGGGCACCATTTGCCAGGCACCACTGCAGCCAGACTGAGCTGCAGTGGGGCAAGGGGCTACCCCTGGAGCTTGGTCCGTGCTGCACATGTCTGGTGGGCAGTGGCTCTGTACCTCTGGCGGCAGCTCCTGTAGGCGGAGGCAGTCGCGACTCTTGCCCCAGGCAGCACATCCTGCTCCAGCCACAGTTCCCCCTGCATCAGCTGGGGATGGAGCTCACGGCTGGTGGGCAGGGCGCAGGTCGGGGGGGACCCTAGGCCATGGGGGTGGGGCCCAGGCCTATGGCACCAATTAATCTTAATCTACCCCTGCTAAGTGTGATCTTATTCCACCCTTCTCAAGTCCCTGAAAAACTGTATTACAGTGTATTAACTGTTTTTCAGGGACTTGAGCAGGGTGGAATAAGATCATAAGCATACTCATGTGAGGAAGAAGGAGAGAAATGTGCCCTTTGGACCAACAGTATAACTAGGAGTGGGCAAGTGGGACATGACACCAGCCCTGGGTGCCAATTTTAGGGGGCATGTGATAGTGACCACCCTCGCTGCTGGTCTGGCTGGCTTCAAAATGGTCCCATTGTCAGTGCAATCCTCCAGCTTGACCAGGACCACTCATTTTTGGCAAGCACAATCTTTGTGCACTGTTTCATAGCTCCTAGAGGAGTCAGTAGTTCCAGAGATCAGGTGTTACCTGCTTTCCATGAGAAATGCAGTTAGCAAAAGTATGGGGAAAGCTATAAGTTTGCTGAGGGCCCTCCTTTCCCCTTGGACGAGGGAGGCCATCTCCAACTGTGCCATCTCCTGGTGGCTTTGTGGATGATGGGTCAGGCCCCATTTCCCAGTGCCTCTCCCTTCCAGATTCCAGGCTCTGGGTACCAACAGTCTCCTTCCACATACTGATTTGTTTTTATTCACTCCTAGCACACTCCTGCCTGCTGGACCAGTGAAAGACTGAGTGAGGTTGTCAATTAGCCTTGATCCCAGCTGTGGCAGTGTCAGGGATAATTAACATATGTCAGGCTCCACCATGATAGCAACCGGGATCCAAATGAGTCACTGCATAAATTATAATATTTATTAGTGAATCTATTAAAATGAATAGTATAGAGCTCATTGTTGTGTGGCTACTGGGCTTGATCAGCTTGGAAGCCAGGGCTGGGGAGTGTTGAGTACTTACACCAGTGCCCCTGTGATAAAGGCAGCTGGGTGCCATGTCACCACTGAACTTAGGGCTGGTGAAGGGCTACTGATCCATAGAGCAGGAAGTGATAGCACAGGGGTGGGTGGGGTGGGCTTGCACATACAGCCTCAAACAAGCCTGGAAGAGACTAGTCCTATTTAGCTTGATGGTGGCTGTGGATATGCCACAGCCAGTGAGATGGGCAGATACCACAGATGCTGAGAGAAGAGGCTGCAAGATGTAGATTGACTCTGTGCACAGACACAGCCTGAGACTACAAGGGTTTGTCTGAAATGAAGAAAGCTGCATTTATCTCAGGCTGACTAATTCTGGTTCAAACAGCACTGAAAAGACAACTTGGATTTTAACATACATAAGCAGCTTGGGCGTCTATGCACGTGCTCTGCGGTGTGGGTAGGGGGGATGATTTAATTAGACCAGCTCTGAGAGCTGCTCTAATTAAAGCGACTGCAGCATCATGTGTATTCAGCATCCTGTGCTTCAAAATGCCAGCAGGGGCATTTCAACTAAAGCTCATTCGACGAGCTTTAGTTAAAGCATGCCTGCCACCAGTTTGAAGTGCAAGGATGCTGAATAGACATGACATAGAGGCTGCCAGAGTATGTTAATTAACACGCTCCAGCAGACTCAATTAATCAATTCTGCTCCAATGCATGCTAATTAGCACACGTCAGAGCAGATGTCCAGCACATGTGTAGGGGCCCCTTGAGTTTAAGTTTGTAAGGGGATCTGGAGTTGAAGATGAGTTGCTGTTATATCTTAGATTAAGAGAACCCTACCTCTTGCAGTGTGACCATATCCTAAGAGCCAGGAAGAATCAAGGAAGCAAACCACTGGATTAAAGACAAGAGTGGGTCCTCCCAGAGATAATGAGCATATGGCACCTCTAATTGATGCCATCTATCATAGCTGACTAGCAGAGTTCAGAATGGAGTGGTAACAGTGTCTAGGGAGGCTGGGCTTAGGCAGAAAAGTCTTTCCTTCCCACAAATGTTTTGGAGACTTCACATAGCTTCCCAGTCTGCACTGGATGTGCCCAAGAGCTTTTGAAGTGGAAAATGAGAATGTACAAAAACAAGTCCAAGTCCTTCATCTAAGTATGGTAGGGAAAGGATTTGAGCCTGGGTTTCCCTATATCCCAGATGAGTGCTCTCACCCCTGGGTTGCTAGCTACTCTGGCATAGGTAGCTGTCTCTCTCTGTCTTGCTTTAACCAGGAAGTCTAGCTCTCTCAAAACTAGTACATGCCACCCTATGAAAAGCTTCTTTTTCCACAAGTCAGAGTTCCTACCAGCAGTAATCAGATCTCAGTCCCTCATCAAGCCCATTATTCACCAAAGGAAGATCCAGTCTGGGCAATGGTGTATGCTTGGAGTGTACGTGCCTGCTTTCCTGTTGCTGGGAGGGCTGCTAGCTGGGTGTATCACCTACATAACAGGCCACCTAGCAACTTTTCCCTGCAGAAACAGGGGTTGCCTATGCCACCCTAGACTGCACATGGGCCCAGAAGAAGGAAATGTTTTGAAGGGAAGAGCAGGGACTGAAGGGGATTAATGAGCAAAGGTGAGTGGGTGCAGGCCTGATCTACAGAGAAA